TTGACTTGAAATCCATATATATATATATATATAGTTTCGGATGATCTGAAAGTGTTGGGCTAAAATCAAAGTCAGCAGCAATGAGGATAAGAAGACAGCAACAGGTTCCTATTGTTTTGTCCTCTCTCTGAACCTTGCGTTAAAGGCCGGCTCTTGTTTCGTCCATCATTTGTCCACAAGCCATCGAAATCATCACAAGCATCGAAATTATAACTAGGAAGATGTTTCCACGAGAGAACTACAATTAGCTACCACTCTCTCATCCTTGCGTGATCACTTGGGTCTTCGAAGTCGGAGCTCTCTCCTGATGCAACTGGGTATTGATGGCACCCTACAGAAGCTTCTTCCATATCACTCGCTATTGCAGTGGACGAGATGGGGAGAGGAGGAAGAATGGCGAAGATAGAGAAGTGGTTGTATCAATAGACTTCATCTCGCTGTCAGGTACAGTGCATCGGCAGCAGAAGAATTCTGTGGTGAGGGTGGTTCTTGCAGGTGGGATGGTTGAACTTTATGCAGGTGCAGTCTCAGCGCAATTGGTGATGGAGAAGTACCCAGGACTATGCCTCACGAGGCCGGACGTCTTCAGGAGACCCCATGAATCCCTTGTGAGCCCCAAGGAAAGACTACTCCCGGGCCAGAAGTTCTACCTTGTGCCGCGATCGACGGTGAAGAAGCTGAGACAAAACATTCGTAATGGTCCAGAAGAAGGTCTCGGAGCAGCAGCCGTCGAGGAAGCAAGCGTCAGAGATACTGAGGAAAGAGAAGAGTTATCAGATGAATCGATCTGTTCTGCCAAGGATTTCTACGTTTCGAAGGAGACATGGGCTGAGTGCTTCCTGAAAAGGTTCGAGAAAGGGGCTGAGCAACACAAACAAAACAAGCCTTTCACTCCTCCATTCAAGAAGGTGAAACAACAGATAGGAACGCTGGGTGGGTGGAAACCCAGCCTCAGTTCAGTGAAAGAGTTGTCTCCATGAGCAGTTCTTCTTCTGATATCACATGTAATAACAATTAATTCCCAGCTTTCCTTCTCACATGCATCCATGCACGAATAAGGATCAGAATTTGATTATCTTTTAATGTATTAAGCAATAATTTCCTTCCTTTTTTTTTGTGTGTATATGCTGTTCGTCCGGGCGATGATCTTTATCCTTTATTATGAACAAAGATCTTACCATGTTAGATTACATCTCGTTCGTAGCATTTGGTTGAGGGAATCGGAATCCAAAATATCAAACCCATTCGAAAGCAACTGCGATCTTACCTAAATTACATTCCCAATAATTCAATATAGAGCGTTTGAAACAATAAAACATGACAGGAGTAATAAGCAAAATAAATTATGTATTATATTATATTGAATAACATTACATGAAGAATAAATGAAAATATAATGAAAGCATAAAATTAAATAAAGTAAGCATAGAAATATAAATGTGTCAGTCAAAAAATTAAAAGATATAAATGAAAACAGTAATATATAAGATAATGATAATAGATAAATAAATTACATATAAAAGAATATTGATGAAATAATTAAAATAATAATAACAATAGAGGAGAAAAATAGGGAAGAAAGGATGATTGAGAGGACACCTAGAAAAATATTAAAAAGATGATATATTGTCACTTAATTATTAAGTCGATTCTAATACTAAATATCACAATCCAAGCTTGATGAGCTATCTAGCCTATCAATTTCGTCTAACATATTTTACTTATCAAAATACTTAAGTTGAAGTTGATAATAGTATATTTATCAAACTCTTATAAGTCAATCATAATCTTATCTATTTTCGATGTAGGACTAATAGGTATAGGGTGTTACGCATATAGTTTGAGAAAGCATCCATGCAAATAATAATAATAATAACCCCTAAAAAGTAAATAAAAGATAATTATATTTAAAGACATTTTGATAAACAAAGAAACCATGTATAGGGTGGTATATACTTTGAGATATGATTGCACAGCTTGTATCGGCCAGCATATACTTTGGAATATACATTAATATCGATCAGTTAGTTGTAAACTTGCACGTTTTGGGTTGACTTGTGTGAGGATAGTTGGATGTACAAGTTGACTTTTGATATGGCTGACATTTATATATGGATAAATTAATTAAAATTCCGGCTTTTTGTAGTCAGAATGTTAATTATCATCATAATTTTAGCTCAATTGGTCTTTAATAAATAAGGTTGATCCAATTGAACTATAAAAGAGTGTGTTGGAACACAAGGAAATCTTGTTGGATTTGAATGATTTACATTGCTTGATAGTTGGTTGGCCCAAGCGTAGAACATCCTCCTCACGACACAATCACAATTTATAGGGTAAAACTCTTTTGACACGCTTTGGTTTGACTTGTTACCACAAATTTCTTGCAAACCCGATCTCATCTAAAAACAAATCTCAGTTGACTCTTTTGATGAAATTAGTTTAAAACCTCCCAAAATAATGTTGTTTATTGCTTATTAGTACTTGTCTCCACGTCCAATGAGTTCCTCCTTAATCCACAAGAGGTAGTATAATCTGCATATAATCCACAAGAGAGGCTTTAATATTGTTTATTCCGTGATTTATTCGAGCATGGCAAGTCAGAGTTATTCAGGGTCTTAAATTTCATATCAGCCAAACGATTTTTGTTTTTTTGGTGTAAGAGGATCGATCTTTATTAGCTAAGCTAGTCAGCATTTTCGAAAGTTTATACCATAAGATTTCAAAGTATCAATGTTTTGTGATGTGTTCATTTAGATTCCTTCCAATTGATCAACATTCTGAATAGTAAACCATGACATATACACCTATACTACGATCGTAATTGTTTTGCTAAGAGAGAGAGAGAGAGAGAGAGAGAGAGAGAGAGAGAGAGAGCTTCATGTGAAACATTTAGATCATCTTCTTCATGCAAACAAGACCGAAGCAGCCTTCACATCAGCTAGCAAAAGTTTAAGCAAACTAAACTTGATCTTATCAGGAGATGGAGGTGCCGTCACGGACATTAATTACAAGCACTGTTCCATCAGCAGCTGCTGCTGCTGCTTTGGGAACTCTATCCCAAGTCCAAACTAATGCTTGGCGAGTGGAAACTTCAAACCAAGACCTGCTCACGAAAGGTGATATAAATTATGAACACGGTCATGTTCCATAAACGCATCAACGATCAAGCACCGGATGATGCAACGGTGCACGCAACCTGACGAGCAAAGGGCCTTCCCTTACTCAGGCGTCCATTATTGGCTTCACCTTTAGTGTTGCATGCTGATCCCATAGTGCTTATTAAACAACAAGGAGCAGTAGCAGTCAGCCACTTGCTGCAAGAAAGACACCATAAGCAGCATAGTTTATGGAATCCAAAGCGCCTTTCATGCAAATACAGATCTATTCGTGCCCCCGTCACCTTCGTTGACGTCGCTCAAAGGCTATTCAATTGGCATGACAAACTTGGTGTGTGATGATTGGCTCATAATGCCGCAATTTTGTAAGCCACCATCTGCAAGCCTTCCTCCTTATTGGAGACAGAAATGCAGTAGTAAGTTTCAGTAGCAAGACGGCTTTCTTCATTTTGAGCCAATAGAGCATCGATCTGTTCCGTATGGGAGGGTGCGCAAACCTCGAAAGGATCTAAGCCAATACATCTGCAGAATTCACCGAGACGCCGAGAGAATGTCCGATCTGTGAAGTCGATTACAACAGCAACGAGAAGGAATCTTTTGGGTGGATGAAAGCTTGGAATCTTTCCACTTGGAGGCGACAACTATAGGGGCAAACAAATCCTTATGTAATGGTCGCAGTCTGCTCAATTAAAGATAATGTATCCATCGTCTCCTTAGTTATTCTAAGGTGCTGACGCGGACAAGACTAAGCCTGTCCAAACGAACAGGTCGGTTTCACTTTCCGCAGACGAAATCTCTCACGGGAGAATCCTCACCCCCTGCCTCTTTTTCTAATAAGATTCCACCCTCACAGTTTCTAGTGCCTTAAGAATATTCTCTGCCTCATCAATTATTTCCCTTTTTTCCTTTTTCTTTTTTCCTGATATTAAGAGAATCTCTTGAATCACCACTTGATTTATAATAACTTAACATTACCCTAACAAAATTATATATATATACTCTCGGAAGTGTTGCAAGTTGCAAGAGATGAAACGTCTACATCTTGGTCGTCTAGTTGCGATTTGAATTGAAGTGATCTGTCGACATCTTATTGTTTGTCCTGTGGATTGATGTACCTAACAGTTGGTCAAACCAAACCGGTTGTCCTGAAAAATATGATCACAAAATACGACTGTATGTTTAGTTATATCATATGTTGACCGAACAAACGAACTTATATTAGGCATTTTCGTCTTTTTCACTCATGTTTTCATCGATCTTTATTGTTTTTCTTTCACTGGCGAGTCAATTCTGGCCGAGTCTCGGCCACCGGCTCGTCGTAAACCCGTGTCGACCGGGGGACATTCGATGCGACCCACTTGGGTTCGGTCCGATCGAGCCGACGGCCCAGCAGTGGGGCCCACCATTCTACGCACCTTCATTAGTATTACGTGGGGCCCCCGTCTCTTCCCGCTTCGGACCACCTCCCTAAAGTTTGGGGTTGGTTGGGGGGTGGGGTGGGGGGGGGGGATGGGATTTCGTGCCGGGGAGCTTCGGTTGACCGGACGAAAGGCTACGTGGACCGAAGCACGAGGGCCGCATTATCTTCCACGTGGCGTGATGAAGGGGGAGGAGCAGCGACTACATGTGCGCCGTGTAAACCATCCCAACCCTTCTCCCTCGCCTGCTCAGTGTTTATCCGAACCCTATCCTCTCCACTTCCCCCCCACCTTTATATATATATATATATATATATATAT